AAAAAAAAAAAAAAAAAGCGGGGTGGGGGGGAGATCTGCAAGATGTCTTTCTCGGCAGCCCCTCGCGGGATCCAGCCTCTGTCCGAGCTGGATCTTTCTTGGGCTGGCGTCGCCCCCACCCCAGGGCTCCCCTATTCCCGTCCAGTTGGGGGGGGGGGACTTCTCCATCATTTTTGCATCATTCTTGCTCAGAAAGAATAAGAAAGGGCAACCCCACCCGGGCATATGGCCCCCCACCTCTTCTTATTCCTGCCCCCCAAAACGTGCTGGTTAGCTACGTGGTGCATTGCTGCCTGGTGTACAAGTCTTAAAGGGACAGGATCCTGCCCGGGCAAGAAAAAGGAAAAGGAAAGAATTACCGGCCGTTTCCTCTCCTCCTACCACGAAGTGCACCTACGTACAACCCTCTTTCCTCCCCCGCCCCCGCCAATATCTCAACCCCGGAACCTGAGTGGCTTTTCCTGCCTTTTTCCTCGGCCGCCGGACTCGATCTTGGGATCTGATTTTCCCGGGCCGGGCGGGCGAGTTTCCTCTCCGAAGAGTTAAGCCTCGGGGCTGCGTTTTGCACGGCGTAGACATCACGGGCCGCGGAGACGTCGCGCGGGGGGAGCCCCGCTGGGCAGGAAACCTCCGGAGCGAGTGGATTTGCAAGTTGTGTTTGATTGTTTTAATTAACTGGCAGAAAAAAGGGATAACAACAACTCCCGTACAGCCCTTTTGTAAGAAGCGAAGCTAGAGAGTCAAGTCAGGTTGCACTAGTTAATTGTTAACATTTAAGACGGTTTTACTTTCGAACAGGGAAAAAAAGAAAGTAGGCTTTAAATCTGGGATACTCGGTGCAAATGTCCAAACAGCCTTCCCCCTCGAGACTCCCGCGTGTTAAAATGCTAGCTGAAAGACAGAGGAATGGGTTCTTTAGGCCCGCGTCTAATTGCAAGAAAAAGGAGGGTCCTTCCACCCTTGTATCAGTGCTTTTGTCCCCCTAAAACAGTTCAGCGTAAGCTTCTGTCTCTTGTTAGTTCCCAGACAAACATTGTGGCTTTAATACTTTTGCTTTATAGATTCGGAGGATAATCTGATGGCAGAGCCTAATTGCAACATTTGCAGTTTTCTGCAGCATATTCAGTAAATTCACTAAATGTGAATACATCCAGGCTTCGTGCTGCTGTTGCGTTCTTCTCTGCCACTGGATATCCTTTACTTTGTTTCCATCTTGTTGGATGAAGAGACCCGCAGAACCCAAAAATTATTTATTAAGCATACTTGCATTAAGTTTAATAAAAGAATTGGCCTAGTGTAAGATTTGGTATTTATGTGCAAATCAGACTCTGCTTATGTGCATACTTACTTGTTTTTATTTACATATTCAGTTATTATTGAAAGGCAAAAGAGTTTCTCTGGAATGTACCTAGACATTGCCCAGCTCAGAGGTGGAAGATTTCCCTGCATGAAGAAACATTGTGTCTCAGGGAAGAGTTAAGCTTACTTTCTGCATACAAGCTGCGTTTGCACATCTGCTTAACCAGATCAAGTAAACACACAGCAAGTGTATTTGCTTAGTATGCTAGTTTGATTAGTGTTATTTTTTGTTTTTGTTTTTGTGGAATAACGTGCAAATCCAGCCTTTGGGTTAATTTCTGAGTCATTATGTTGTACAAACCCAGAATATGGGTTTATTCAATAACCAGGTTAGATATATGGTGTGAATGTCATGAGTTTTAAATCCTCCGGTTTTAATGTCTAATTTTGCTCCACTGTGTATATCCACTGGTTGAAGCTAGTTCTTTGGACATATTATGGTTAAGTAGAAAAATATCTGTTATTAACCTTAACCTTTATTAAGGGAAGGGTTACGACTGAAATGGCAAAATACATTTTATAAGAATACCATTTTGCAGAATGTAATGTGTGGGTAATTGGATGTAAGTACTTTATTCCTAGCTGAAAATGTTCCTGGAATGGCTTAGGTGAGATCAAGTAGAATAATAATAATAATAAAACCCAGGCTTATAATCTAAATGACTGCTTTCTCCAATCTTGTGCTCTCCAGTTGTTGTGGATTCGATTTCCATAATTCACAACCTTTAGCCACAGTGGTTGAGTATTAGAGGAGATGAAGCCCGGGGGATCTAGGGAAGGCTGCAGTGAGAAAAAAAATAAGAAAATAGAAAAAAGGGATGAGGAAGAAGATGGAAGAATATAGAGAGAAAACGTGGTCAATTCTTCAATTAAATCAACTAAATTAAATTAATTTAATTCTTAATTAAGTTAAATTGATTGATTAATTAATTAAACTCTTGGGCCGGGATTGCTACTCAGAAGTAAGTCCTGTTAAGCAGCATGGATCTTCACATAGTGCGCTTAGAATTGCAACTGTTTTTTGTAGTTTTATTTAAAAATCAAGCCGGGAGACCCCATCCAGATCTGATTTCCAGGTATCCTTCTTTTCTTTTAGCTGTTCTTGTGCCTTCGAGTGACATGTCCATGGATGTAACGTTTTTGGGGACAGGGGCTGCGTACCCGTCTCCAACGAGAGGGGCCTCAGCTACAGTGGTCCGTTTTGAAGGAGAATGCTGGCTGTTTGATTGCGGCGAGGGAACGCAGACACAGTTCATGAAAAGTCACCTGAAAGCAGGTCAGTTTCAGACGTTGCAAATAACTTTCCAGAGGCTGGGAGAAGTTGGGAGGGCCTGCTCATTGGCAGAATTAGAAAGGGATTTTTCTTTTAGGCAAATAATGCAAAGGGCTTGGCACGGGGAGGGTGGCATCCGTTTGCTTAAATGCATCCCCTTGAGATCCACTAGACTTGCTGTATTTGACATTTTGTTTAAGAATCATTCATTTGGGGGGGGGAAGCAAGCAAATTGAAAAATGCGTGAACCTCTAGCACAGGGTTTCTCAACCTCAGTAACTTTAAGATGTGTGGACTTCAACTCCCAGAATTCCCCAG